TTTTGTGTTACTTTATTTATTTGCTACACTTGCTAAATCCTTTTGTTTTGTTGTTAATGCGATACAACTAGGTGCTTCTTTTAATAAAACGAGGTTTATTTTTCTAGTTTTATCTATAAAATATAGTTAATAATGCGACTACTTGTCTGAGCAGAAGCGCCTTTGAAAGAGATCGCACCAGCGGAATAAAGGGAGCCTCTTTTATTTTTACATTAGATCATTAATTTTTCTTGCACAAGTGCCTTCATATCAAGTCTGTTTTGTTGACCCTATTGAAGAATAGGCTTAACATTAAAAGAAATTCCCCCATTGTGCTACATTCATGTGTCGAGCTACCCTCGCCATATGCATATAATATAAACATATAACCTATGTAAATCTAAGATAAATAATAAAGATACTTGTTTGATTTGATTTCATATATTTAGGCTCAGCGGTGTAGCTAGGTACGAAATTTGGGATGGGCCTTGAATTACAACCGTTGGGTAGGAGGCGTATAAACCCTTGGAGACAAGTTAGATGGAATGAAAAGAGATACATATGAAGTATTAGGATGTAGGTAGACCTAAGTACTGAGTGGACAGGCCTTATCCCCCTCCCGTGTCACGTCACAACCTTAAGCCCATGTGATTCATTACTTTTGTGTGTTTTAAGACGAAAGACATTGCTACGACTGCACCTGTCTTTTGACGTATACGGATAGCTTTAAAAGCCTGATCGAATCACGTTTGTCTTTATAGATTGTTTCTTGTACTGTTCAGCAAGACAATGTGTACGTTTATATCTCCAAACAAAACTAAACGTTGTCTCTGCAGAATTAGAATGATCTTGTAACCTTGCGTATCTCATAATTAATTGCGTACTTAAGGACAATTGGATTCAGAAAATATTTATCGTGCTAGATATTGTAAGAAATACGTTAGTTTATTGCGTTAAATATTATCTTTATTTATCATTTGCTTTAAAAGATAGGAAATTTCAACCCAAACGACATTTTATGTACACGTAGTCGTTAAGTATTATCTTTATTTATCATTTGCTTTAAAAGATAGGAAATTTCAACCCAAACGACATTTTATGTACAAGTAGTCTAGACGACCAGACCCGACATGGCCAGGTGATAAGGGCGCTCGACTCGCAATCTGAGGGTGGCGGGCTGGAATCCCCGTCACACCAAACATGCTCGTCCTTTCAGCCGTGGGAGGCGTTATAATGTGACGGTCAATCCTACTATTCGTTGGTAAAAGAGTAGCTCAAGTGTTGGCGGTGGGTGGTGATGACTAGCTGCCTTCCCTCTAGTCTTACACTGCTAAATTAGGGACGGCTAGCGCAGATAGCCCTCGTGGAGCTTTGCGCGAAATTAAAAAAAACAAATAAACTAGACGACCAAACCAGAAGCCCTAGGATTCATCTAGAGTTGCCCCTAATTTTGAACTGAGAACCAGAAGGATGGCTGTCATCAGGAGCACCTGTCACCAGAATTCCCTGTTACCAGGACCACCTGCTCTTTGAAAGGAATAATGAGATTAACTGTCACTTACATGATGTAACTACAGCTCAAAATGCGATACGTGTTCAGTGGTATTACGTCTCTAACCTTAGACATTTCTATTCACAAGCCAGTGTGCTAACCACTAGATTAAACCTTTCCCCATTTCCTTTAAAGAGACACGAATTTCATAATGCACGGGTGGAAGTGAAAGTTTTAAGCCTTGTATTGATTTTTATTATTTTTACTCTGTTTCTTGCCTAAGTATTATAATACTTGTCATTCATGCGGGTGTCTGCAGTTTCAAACAACATATTGGTCATAGAAGTCATTATTTTGCTGTCACTCTGGCTGTCTGTTGTTCCCCTGAGATAACACCTTTTTATCTTCCCTAGGGAAAGATAACTGTAAGGTTGTACATATTTTATAAAGTTATAGTCGTCTTTTCCATTGGTACTCAGGTCATTTCTTGAAGTTATCACCTCCTTTATCATCCAATGAAAATGACGGGTCACATGGTAGCGTTAGTCGATCTGGGTAAACGTAACATTATAGATTCAACTAAGTAACATAATGTTTAATCAGTTAGGTACAAGATCTCACCTGAATAAGTTTGGAACAACTCTTGAGAGAGAAACGGTTTTGGAAATAATTTTCCAGTAAAGGTGACTGTCTCTTGTGATAAGTAAATACACCTACACTGTGTTTGTGAAATAAATAAATATTGTCTATTGTGATTGTACAATTTTGCACAGTCTCGTTGTTTTTCTTTCGCTTGTGAACTCAGTTATTCAGAGAATACAGAATTATTTCACGGTAAATATTTTGGCGAATCTTCTGTTATTCTCTGGACCACTTGGGGGAATTCATAGTTACCTGAGAATATCACACTACTCGCCATTTTGGTTTTTTTTAGCCGTGGCATAATGGCTCGTAGAATGTCTCTGAATTTGTACAAAATTTTAGCTCATAACTCCATCATCTTTTAACCGATTTGGGATATAATTACAGTTTTGGACTCAGGAGGTCAAACCATTTCGACTGATGTATTTGACCACGCCCAAGGTCTCATATATTAATTTATTCTAATCCTGCCTAAAATAATTTCAATTTAAGAATAGGCCGATAGAGATCTTGAAGAGTAATAAAATCGAAGCTGGTATACGCTCACCCCACGCTTGTTATTGTTGGCGCACAAAAAAAAGCTTATAAAAAGGGGAAAATGGACTCATACATCAGTCTTACGGCTAAAAAAACAACCTGTAGGACACACTGTGTTTTATTAACAGGAGTGAGTTTAGCGATTTTCCATCTTCTGTAGCTCGGACAGCGGTAATCCAAACATCCACATATTTTCAGTGGATGTGCTCTACTGGACTCTTACTTCACATACCAAATTTCAAGGCAATCCATTAAGAAATACCTGAGATATAACATCTCCAATTTTGATTGAGTTTCTTCTTATTTTATTTTTTCTTTGCACCAAAAGTATGGAAACTTTATTTGATAGAAAACCGTACTTAACTTTTATGGATTTTTGTCAAATTTGATACACTGATAGATCTTTACAGCCTACAATTAGAAGTCTCAAATTTAACGGACGCTTACGCATAAAGTCACGTGAGCTATCGGTTTAACATTTTCACTACAGCTTCACCGGAGATTAAAAGTGGACCGTTTTTAGTTTTTTTGTCATTCGGATTAATGACTGCTAACTTCGAGCAGCAAAACTATAAGAAGAAAGGACTTGCAGATACATAAGTATTGGTTAGGCCAAGCAAACAAGATTAGCAGTTTCTAGCTCAAGTTTTCAAAATAATCATACGGGTGGATAGTTATTATTCATTGCTAACTTTTCAATACAAATTTACTAAATTTTATGAAATTATGCTATTTAAAGAGCGTTTAGCGTTACGGGATACGAACTTAAGCAATTAGCATAAAGAATGATGCTTGATACGGCTGTACCGATTGAATAAGAGTGATGACAAGAAACTGTTAATCTAAATTCCATAGCGTTACTATAAAGGAAGCTATTAACAGTGTTTTAGAGAAGAAAAT